ATCGATTCTTGTGTTCTGCATTAAACTATTTATAGTTTAAGGGCCTGGTTAGAAATGTTGCCTTAGACTAGGAATAGCTAAGAGCTTGTTATAAAATGATTTGGCCTTAGATTAAGAATAATTTAAGAGCATGGTTGAGATATTGAATATCAAATGACTTGGAATAAAATATTGAGAATATCATGAATGTTTGAATCATATATTGTGTGCATGATATCAAATGGTTGATTATGAATTGAGATTCAATTTATTTGGATGTTCGACGCTTTAGATATGCTTACTCAGCTTCATCGCTGAGCGTGTAGTATGTTTTATTTGCTACACGCAGGTAGACAGAATGAGTGAATGGCATGTTCTTGGCAGCGGAAGGGGCGAGACAGTCGTGGTGGATTTATTGAGAAAATAAATGATTATGTTATTATGAATCATGTTTAAAAATCGCTTCCGCATTAAACACTCCTTATTTACTACAATTATGTTTGGAATTTCATTTATGATGAATAAAGTTATTTGAAATGTTTTAAATTATACGATTACCAAGTTAATACTTTAGTTCGGAAGGGGTTGTAAACCTGGACGGATTAGGGTGTTACAGATCTGGTCTGATCTGATCTAATCTGATTGGATTTGATATGAATTTAATTAAAATTAAAATTAAAATTTTTATTATGATAATTATAATAATAATAGGAATAATAATAATAATATACATCAAAAAAATAATAATAATAGTAATATTAATAATGATAATAATAAGAATAATACTAGTAATAATAATAATAATAACTATAATAATAAAAATATTGATGATAATAATAATAATAATAGTAATAATTATAATAAAATATGAATAATAACTATAGTCGTAATAATAACAATAGTAATAGTAGTAATAATAATAACAGTAATAATTATAATAACAATATTAGTAATAAATATAGTCGTAATAATAATAATATTAATAGTAGTAGTAGTAATAATAATAATAATAATAATAATAAAATAATAATAATAATAATAATAGTAATAGTAGTAATAGTAATAGTAATATACCTATTTACAGCAGCAATAAGATTTCACCCCTGCCTAAAATTTTCGACCTAGTTTTGAGGTATGGGCCAATTTTTTAATTACTGTGTTGGGTCATTTCTTAATTAAAGTAGTTTGGGCTAATTTCGAATTAATAAAAAAACAAATTTTTAATAATGTAGTAATAATTATAATAAAATATGAATAATAACTATAGTCGTAATAATAACAATAGCAATAGTAATAATAATAATAATAGTAATAATTATAATAACAATATTAGTAATAATTATAGTCATAATAATAATAATACTAATAGTAGTACTAATAATAATAGTAATAATAATAATAATAATAATAATAGTAATAATAGTAATAATAATAAAAATAATAATCTACCTATTTACAAAAGCAATAGGATTTCACTCCCGCCTAAAATTTTTGGCCAAATTTTGAGGTATGGGCCAATTTTTTATTGTAAAATTTGCACTAAATAGGACTAAAACATAATGCCTTTCCCAATGTAAGACTTAAACTTTTTTATTCCCTAAATAGGACTTAATAATGACCTAGTGGAAATAATAATGTCCAGTAATGATGGACATTTACTTGAATAATGACTACATGATAATGACCAAAAGTCCTACATTGGGAAATAAAAACATATGGTTCTATATTGAGAAAGTCATTATGTTTTAGTCCTATTTAGGTAAATTTCTCTTTTTTATTTACTGTGTTGGGTCATTTTTCTTAATTAAAGTAGTTTGGGCCAATTACGAATTAGTAAAAAAGTACTATATTTATTTTACTTGTTATTGGAACCTATTATTTTTATAATTTCTTTGAGTCTCTTTTTATTAATCGGGTCTAGAATCCCAAAAGTTTAAAATAATTCTGCAATTTCTTTCTCAACAATAACACATGCATTCAGAATTAGAAGAATAGTAGTAACAATATTATTATTATTATTATTATTATTATTATTATTATTATTATTATTATTATTATTATTATATTGACAATTGGAATTCAAAAATATTAATAATAATATTAATACATATTCTAAACATAACATA